TTTTTGGCTGCAGTCGCTCTTCTTCCGTGTTTGTGTGCACACCCGATCCGCCAGCGATCAGCGTGGACAACTGAATGTACGAGGGATTTCCCGGATGGCTGTAGTCATGTTTGTGGCTTTGGGTGTCGGGGTACTGGGCGACGGTTGGGTCCACAAGCAGAGATGCAGCTTTTGACGGAGTGGGGCTAGAGATTGGCTTCGCTCCTTGTCCCCGCACATCTGACTCAGTCCAGTTTAGGGGCTGTGACTTTGTTGACGAGTGCGCTGCTGCAGCTGTGCCCTCTGATACGGAGATAAGCGTTGATAGCTCCACGTAGTTTGGGCGCTGCTTGCATGTGGGATTTGCCTCCTCCAGGGCGTCCCTGCCTTTGGTGGGCGAGAGGCCTGTGGTGGTCGAATAAAAAGTGCTTTTGGAGAAGCAGCTGGTTTCGTCGGCCTGGTTTCGGGAGCACAGGGGGGCTATGACCACAATCGGCTTGGTCATGAGTTTGGGTCGTCTGCACATTTGATACCTGTAATAAATAGGCGAGTGTCTGCGGACATTAGTTATTACCGCTGAAATTCGTCAAAGCGTCTGGAACACATGGATTATCCTGCTGAGGATTCTGATTCACTTTCAGCCATCGCATGTAAATGAGCCCGAACATCAACCCAGTCCACGATTCTGCGGTTTTATTTTGACGCGCGTACCTACTGTACTACGAGACATGTCGCTCAGTCAACCCTGAAATCCCTGAGACCAATCATGAACCTGAATTTCATTGGGTCGCTAGCTGGCTCCGTGTGTGTTGGGATGTAGGCATGAGAGGTAAGATTCTGATAGTTTGGAATTTTTACGACGAAAACGGGCTAATTTGTTCTTGTTTCTTTGAATATTTGCAGTCACCGTTGCCTAGCAGACATCCCAAAAGGCTCACCGAGAAAAACTGACCAACTGATTAACGAGTATGAGCTGCTCAATGTACCCCTAGGTAGGGATTTGGGGATCGAGAATACCAGTGATTAGAAACCTAGGACACAGTTTGAAGCTGGTGTGTCAAACTGCTAGATATGGCCCATAATAAGTTCCAAGATTGTCGCCGAAAATAGTTCGTATTTAGCCCCTTACACCATGTTTAACGCCAGAGCAGACAAGAAATGTATTTCATGTGGACTACTTCGAAATATCACGATAAGTTAGGTCTCACGTCTGTTCCTTAAAGAGACACTGACAGTCTTCACTCACGCAGAACCATACCTTCTAGATGCCTGGAGGTTTTAGTTTCATTCTGTCATATTAAGATGCTGTTCGAAATGCTGAACTCGGGAATCGAAAAGTTAAATCGAAATAATTGCAAATTCATTCGGCTGTCGGATTATCGAGAGTTACTCGCGTATCTTCCAGTGCAAGAATCTGAACGGTCCTCAAAACCCGGGCTCTTACTCTGTCCTGTGCTGTCCCGTTCATGTCAAAAAAGCTTCGATTCTGTCGTATGAGCCGACGACAGTATCATCAGACTTAAGTTGTTGGAGTACAATAGAAGGGTGTGGTATGTGGCTCTGTACTGTCCACTGTCAGCTGTGGGCTTGATGTAGCGTAGCTGCCATCAGAAGATTACTTTGCTCTGGACAGTAGCAGATTCACATTATCGTGGCACATAAAAACATTGCTCTCTTTAATAATATCGCGGACGCCAACCAGGGTCAGTCAAAGACCCTCCTTTTAAGATGGGGGACTGTTCTCAACTGCCATCAAGTAACTCATTAGCCGATGAGTGTTGGGGTTTGTTACTTTATGTATTGCATCCACCCCTGTCGAAACATGTCCGCCGAACAGCGTGGAAGATCTGTCACTTCCTACCGTCTTTCGGCTTCTTGTGTGCAACCCGGTGACGCATTTATCCGCTAACGCTTTTCATTGCGCCTTCTAGGTTTATGCCAAATGCTCACCTCGCTACGCCATCGAAAAGCCAACGGACCTCAAATAAGCCCATCAGAGTCGAATTCTCTGATGATGATAAATGGTAAAAAACGTTCAGTCGGAGCACTTTTTCGGTGCCTAACTGCCATGCCACCAGAAGGTAGCACGAGGGCTGAGATCCTGCCAAGTTGTTCAGGTTGCAAACAGGGGAAGTCGAGAGGCAGAGTTTGGGTTCGAACCATGGACCTTCCGGTCAGTGAAGTGACGCTCTAGCAACTGTGCCACCTCGCTCTTAACGCTCGGTTCAGTCTCCATCAGTTCTTGACGGCGTTTTTGCCCAACAGATTGACGTGGTGGAGGAAATTGATCCCAAGGGCCACGCAGGGGTCATCACCGTGAATCGTGGCTCGTGGACGGCAGTACTCAAAGTTAGTCATGGACAAACCCTCTGCCAATTCATGGAGACAAAAGAAACCCACGGAGGTTCGTGACGGAGCCATTGGTTGACACTGGCGAGGTTAATATAGATGTGCCACTGGTAACTTACTCTGAGTCCGAGACAGCTGGGTGATCGGTGACCCTAATTAGCGGAAATAACGCTGACCTCTGTATTAGCAAATCACCTTCCTGTCGAGGTCCTGTCCCTAACATAGACTGTAGTGGTTGCCAGAAGCAGGTGTGAAAAATACCGTCACGAAGAGACTGGACCTTACCGTAGTGTGGCGGTTTGTGTACCTCGGAGACCCATTGAGCTATACTGGGGGTGTCCGCGCGACATCCACAGAGCCTCTCATACCAGGTTGGTCAATGGTTAGAGGTCTGACGAATACAGTCTCCTGGCCTTCCAGATTGGGGGTTGGAACATGTATGGCGACTTGTTCCGTATAAAAGTTAATGAATTTGCATTTCCCCGCCAAACCGCTACCTTGTGGTTAGGCTTTTGAGCCAAAGGCTTTGGTTGAGGACCCTAATCGTCCTCCTGTCTAGGTGTGGGCGCCCTGGCAGTATCCCAGCCCTCGTACAACCATGAC